GGTTCGAATCTCATTTTGAAACCATTCACATTTTGTTTCTGAATTTTCTTTTACGTCTAGCTTCATGTTTTGCAGGCTTATGGTGTATCCTGAGGAATGTTAGTTTGCCATCCTGAGTATTTCAGAAATTGGAAAAAAGGAAAGGTTGAATGGAGAATTGGTATTTTTTAATGAATACATTTCCATTTATTTTATGGCGAATAGTAATTTTAGGTGCATCATGGCGTATTGGTTGTGTTGTACGCGTTCGCATGGCAGGCTAGGGTTCGATCACATTTTTGAACTTTCTTACGTTAGTGTTTCCGAATTCTATTTCAGATTTAGTTTTGGTTTTTTTATGATGTATCCTGAGAAATATCAATCTGTTTTCCTCACTGTTTCGAAATTAATAAAAGTAAAAAAGGAGAGGGAGCTTTGGCATTTTCTTAAAATCCATTTTTGTCTGGTTCTTAGCGAATAGGTGTAGTGGATGTGTTATAGTATAGTGGTAGCGCTCTGCGTTTTCGTACGGTAGGCAAGGGTTCGGATCCCATTTTTCGAACCACATTTTGTTGCCGAATTTTCTTCCATGTCTAGCGCTGGCTTTTGTAGGTTCATGGTTTATCCTGAGGAATCTCGATCTGCCTTCGTCACTGCTTCGACTTTTATAAAAAGGAATGGGGTAAGTGAACTTCATACTTCAATAATGCTAATTCTTTATTAGATCCGCCCCTCCAGTCGTTACATCAATTTTTAATTTGCTTAAGATGTCATTCCTCGTTGATCTCGCTCTAGTTCGGTTTTCGTTGAATTTCCTGGCGGTTCTGTCAAAAATTTCATTCACTTTCTTTGGACTGGTTCTCTCATCTCCCTTAATCTGGGGTATTCTCGAACGGTTATTGCTGAAGCTGTGGGTTACCATCAAGGCCTTCGAATAGGGTGCCCTATAGTTCCGTTGCATAGCTCTCTATAACACCTTGAGAACTAAAAATGTCACGTTCTAGTACTGCTAGCACTTCTTCATGCTATCATCTGATTTCAGAACGGTCAAGGAGAGGTTTATGGAGACGATGGGATGTCGCTCGGTTTAAGAGGAGGAAAGTACGCGTATCGGACTTGGAGAAAGAAGAATTGGAAAATGAAATGGCGGAAGAGATGACGTGAAGGGCGGCAATATCTGTGAAATTGTGATCTTTTTGTCCGTTTGTTATGATATCTGATTGCTGTAACTTATGCTTTTGAAATTGGATTGTACTATTGTCGCGTTTTTTCATCTTCTCTTTTAATCGGACAAAACTTCCATCCATTGACCGACAATTTCCATTTTGGGGTTGACATGAAGGGTAGTCAATATACGTGATTTTCTAAGTATCATCGTTCGTTGCTCGGAAGATTTCAAAATTTTCTTATCCATCCCATTCATCAGCATTATTCCCTGTCTCTAGCAGTTAGGTTTTTCTTCTTCACGTCGATGAGGTAATGCGACAACATTTATTGTTGATAGCTTTGTTGTTTCGTTTTGCCTTTATTGTTGTCGTATTATCGTTCTTTACGTTGTTGTCGCACCATCCTCCTCCCCCATTTCCATCGAATTATATATACGAACAACTCAAAACTTTCCCCATTCCGAAAAATCCTCCAACCAAATTCCAGTTTATGTCAGATGGTATGAAACGCCATCTGGAGTATTTTGGCTTCATGTTGCGATAACAGAATAAGACTTTTTTTACTGTTGGTTGTTTCGATCCTCATTCGCCACGTAGAGGAGGGCAGCTCTCGAAGCGGAGTCCGACATCGCGACGTCGGATGATGATGTGTCGAGACGCCCTTTCCTCGAAAAGGTTTCTCAGCGTTGGCGTTGCCCGGCATCTGGTGTGCTGTGGCGCGTCTGGCGTTTGAGGCCTCGTGGCGTTCTTCAGGTAAGGCTGGTGACCAACGGCGTGGCTTGGCCGGTTGCCAGCCTTCGGTGGAAAATAAAGGGTGGTGGGGTGCTGCTGAAATTTTTTCAAAGTTGGCAGGTTGCCAATTTTAGAAAGCACGATTTAGGAACGGTTCGCCAATGTTAATAGATATCCAAATGAGCGCTTATATGATAGATTTTGATAAAATTTTCACCGCTAAAACGGTTGTTCCTTTACCGCGATTCACACATTGCTGACCCTCACATTCCCCTCCAAGCAACTAGCCGTTAGCGGTATTTGACTCATTCAGCAGGGTGCTAGTCTCAGCGAACCGCAACGCTATGTTGAAAACAAGCGCAATTAAGAGCTGAGTTGTGAGTTTTGCAGAACGGCAGAGGCGTTTAGATATCCATCCGCTCCTAGAAAACCGCCGGGAAAACGTCGTCATTGCATGTCCTCTCCCAAGTAAAAAACTTTCGTAAGTAAACGCCCTTGAGCAATTTGCGCGACGCAACTTCACACGCGAAGATACTATTGCGCAGTCTTCCACAGAACAGAATATGCAAGAAAGACCATTTCTCGGGAATCTGCGACCAAATAATCTTGTGCCCCACCGCGTTGGGCCAAACCGTCACCAACTATAACATTTCAGCCGCCGGCAGCCACGAAAGCCGTCATTCTGAGGCAGTTTTTCAAGAAAGGCTGTTTCGAGGACATGGCTTGCTCCGAAACAACCTCGAATCAGCAAATGAAACTACCAACACGATCAAAAATCTTTAACCAATGATGCTGTCGCACATAGTGAGGACGGATCCAAAATTGGCACAGTTTGGATCTACAACTAGAAACCGCCGACGAAATTTGGAGGGAATGCCCGATTTGGAATTTTTCAAAACCTCCAC